TTGTTTGTATACTTTGTAGATCAGATTGTGATAAAGTTATTTTTTCCTATTTCCTGTAGGTGTTACTGGAGGAGAGGGGAAACTATGGTTTTGATTGGTGAGTTCATGTACATGTACATCTACAATTACCGTATAGCGGGAAATTTCGGAGGGACTAAAATTTGGCAAATTGCTAAACTTTGGTGATTGGCGAATTTTAATTTTGGCGAATGGCTATCAAATCGCCAAATTCGCCAAATTTATTACCTTCCAAAATTTCTCACTACACAGTAGTCTTTCCCTTTCAATCATACATGAACAAAACTAGCTCCATGTAATGCAGGTGTACATGTACAGTACTTGTATGATGCAATTTAAACAAAAATTCAAAATCCCACCTCTCCCCCCCTCTCCTCCCCCATAGGGTAATGGAGTATTGCGTGTGTATGATATGGAGGACAGGTGCTTTGACTCTGATCTCAAGATAATGGACTCCAGGAGAGGAAAGACAGTCCGTGTGTCTTGTCTGTTGCTAGTGGATTATAACGTTTTGGTCGGATTACTTAATAAAACTATTCATATTCTTGACGTGGAGACACTTTGTCGTAAGTCAATCTGACTCGGATTAAACATGTAAATGTAGCTATACTGTACATGTAAAATGTACATGTATATTGTATACATGTAGCTGGCATATTTTTGTGGCCTCAAATTTTCGTTTTTTAAATTTTTATTGGAATTTTTGACTTGCAAAATTTTTGTTAATATTTTATTTGATCTTCATAAAATTTAGTGGGATTAATCGAGACATTCTGCCGTAAGTCAATTTGGCTGGGGTTTAACATGTAGCTATGCTTACATGTAAAATGTGCATGTACATGTATATGCATGTATCAGTGTGCAAGTACATGTCAAATGTGTTTTTCTTTTTTTCTGTCTCTTTTTCTAGACGTGTCTCAACTCTCTAATTTAGAAGATGAGCCGGGAGATCTTGCACTAAGTAAGAATGAGCCGATGATAGTTTGGTCTTTGCTTCTTAACGGGACGGTACTTGGATTTGATCCTGAGACTAGGGAGAGAGTTGCTAAAGTTTGTACATGCGTGTACACATACACATTTATGTGTATTTATATTTGTGTCTTTATGCTTTAAAATCATTTTGATTTAAACTTTTCAAGTTATAAAGCAATTTTTTAAATGAGCCAAAATTTGAAAATACAGATGTTTTTTCCAGAAAATGGCTCAAAAATTACCCCGAATTTTTATTACTTTTTCTGATGCATATTGATGTCCTTATGCTGTGTAAAAAGTTTGAGCTGATTCTGACTTCAATTTTTCAAGTTACGGCCATTTTAAAAAATGAGCCAAAATCTGAAAAATACCCAAGGCTATAGCCCATGGTTTTTTTCAAAAAATGGCTCCGAAATCACCCCCAATTTTTATTACATTTTCTGATACATATTGATGTCCTTATGCTGTGTAGCAAGTTTGAGCTAATTCCGACTTCAATTTTTCAAGTTACAACCATTTTAAAAAATGAGCCAAAATCTGAAAAATACCCAAGGCTATATAGCCCATAGTTTTTTCAAAAAATGGCTCCAAAATCACCCAAAATTTTTATTACATTTTCTGATGCATATTGATGTCCTTATGCTGTGTAGAAAGTTTGAGTTGATACCGACTTCAATTTTTCGAGTTACGGCCATTTTAAAAAATGAGCCAAAATCTGAAAAATACCCAAGGCTATAGCCCATGGTTTTTTTCAAAAAATAGCTCCGAAATCATCCCGAATTTTTATTACATTTTCTGATACATATTGATGTCCTTATGCTGTGTAGAAAGTTTGAGCCGATTCCAACAGCAAAATCCCGAGTTATGACCATCTGAAAAAAGGCCACAATTACACATGAATTACCATAACTTAAGTTCAGTACAGTTTCAACTAAATTTCATAATTTTACTAATCCCTCCTCTTCCTCCTCTCTCCTCACAGATTACAGTCCCTAACATGTTACAACATACATTCTGTACCTGCTTCACTGTCTACAGGGACTTCCTTTGGGTTGGTACTAACAGAGGGACCATATCAATACTATCCACTGAATACAGTGAGCAGCAACTGAGGAATGAGATCGCTTTCACTGAAAGTGGAAAGACGGTTGAAGTGAAGTATCTCGCAGTATCCAGTGAAGATGAAGTAAGCAAATTTTAATACCCTATAGCGGTTTTTCATGAATAAAAACTTTTGCAAATTTCACAGATTTTTAAGATTTGTAAAATTATATGTAAATTCCTTGAAAATGGTATAAGATGCCAGAATAGTGGAAATTTGCAAAAAAAAATTAATTTTGTGAACCTCCGATACAGGTCATTCGCAAATATTATTATCCTCAAAACAACCACTGTACAGTAAAACTTCTCTAGATTTTTTAATAAATTTTTGTGATACTAAAATTAATAAAATTTGACCACTCCCCTTTTACCACTCCCACTTTCCCATTACAGATATGGTGCTCGGTCCATGCCATTCCTCGTGCTAAGAACTCAACATTCATTGCCGTCTATAACCCGAGAAACAACACAAAGATATACAGCTACTCAAATTTTGAAGGAAACGACAGTCTCATTTATACTGCCTGTTAAAAATACAGTGAGTTGACCACACCCTTTTAATGAGGTGGGCGGGGTTTATTTTCATTAATGATTTAGGTTTGGTGTGGTACCAAGAGTGGTAAGATATATGTGTTTTCAGCAAGAACAGAGAATAACAGAGATGGGGTAAGATCAGCTACCGTGCTTTAAAGTTGCATATAAATGTACATGTACATGTAATTATAGTACAGCTACTACTAGTGCATGTAATTTTGGATGATAATTTTATTTAAGGTAATATTTCCTATGTGCTATATGTCATCTTGTGCATGGAATGAGTAATTTTTTGCAATTTAAGAGTCATTTTGTCAAAATAAAACCTAGTAGCTGCCATTTGCAAAAAAAATGGCAGCTACTAGGTTTTGCATGCTAAATTTGCTGAAAAATTATTGCCTAACTCAACAAATTTAGACTCTCCAAAATTACCAACTGCAAATAAATGTACCGTATTTCCTTAAATAAAAGCCCGGGCGTCTATTTCCTAAAATGGTATTTGGATCTCGAAAAAATATATAAAAAACAAGCGTAACAGGGTAAAAAATATTCCTATAATTGATTTCACCACCTTGCAAGTACAACTTGGTCATTATTAAGACTTATAGAGGTTCTCTCTACCTTATAATGCTTCTAGAGAAGTGCTTAGACGGTATCTCTATGTTCTCTTGCTGTTAGAAAGCTCTTAACTTTGTCCCATGTGTAAGCCGCCATTTTGTTTGCCGTGACCACACCCACTCACGTAAAGGAGCGTGGGCGGGTGGTTGCTAAGGCTTGTTATTTCTCCAATACAACGTGTATAGAAGAAATGTAAGTGTGGACATACAAATAAATATATATATATATATATATATATATATATATATACATAGCGCGACGGTGAATTCAATTATAGGAACGACCTGGGGGCTTCGCCCCCAGGTCGTTAATAAAAAAACGTCAGCCCAGAGCGGGATTCGAACCCGTAACCTCATGCTTTTGACTTCTGGAACTTCAGGCATTATCCACTAGACTACTGAGTCACTCCTAGGCTGGTGTTGC